AAAAGAAGAAAAATGAAGACTCAAGTATTGGAGCCAACAGCTGGGATTAGCAAACTTGAGCCTGAGTTTAGTTTGAGTTCCCACCCTTGCTGGCAGCAAAGCAGCAAGGAAAGAACCTGAGTGTCAGGAGACGGCAGACATCTTCCCCGGGGACAAAATCCACTAAGTAGTTGGACATAGTCCAGTTCAGTAGGTACCCGGGATATGGGTACGCTGGCACCTTCAGACCTGTGGATTGGGTGGGGTCCCATGGGGAGGATTACACAGCAGGTTTAACCTAGATGAGAGAATTCTTAATATTATTTATTAAAGCACTCTTTTTGTATGCTGATTATAGGTTTAACTATCTGCTGCTAGGCTGAAAACTCTTGCAAGACTTCTATATCCTAAGCACCTAACAATCTCTGAAGCGTATTCAAATATTTATTGAACAAATGCATCATCATCTAGGTCCCAGCCAGCTAACTATAAAATGCTATGTTTGCTGTGAGCACCTAGTTTGGATAAACTACCCTAAAGTTGGTGCTTTCGTGAGACCTGCATGCGAGTGATCAGCTTGGTTGAGAATGGGGCCTCTGGAAGGTCCAAAGCTTTGAAAGAGGGAAAGCAGATCAGAAAGGGGCAGAGAGATGCTCTTTCGGGCCAAGAAAACCTCCCCTCTGTACCCCTTCAGCTACGCCAAAGGTGCGAGGTCTCTGGTGTCCGTCCGTGTATTTGGGGTAGGGGGTGGGAAGCCACAGGGAGAGTTAGGGCTTGGGTACGCTTTGGATTCTAGCAGCCCAGGTCTTTCCCCCAGGGCGAGTCTTGTCCAAGTAGGAACCTCTTCACGCGGTCAGATCCCCGGTCCCCGCTGTCTCATGTCCAGCACGCCTCCAGCCCCGAACCCGCACACCAGCGCGAGGGGGCAGAGTGGTAGTGCAAACGCTGAGCTCCAAGGATGTCCACTCTCCGGACCCACTCTCTCGAGGAGTTAATGTCTCCAGCGCCAGCCTCCGAGTCCCTCCCCCTCCCGCCTCAGACTCCGCCCCTCCCTCTGCTCCGCGCTCCCCGCGGGCTTACCCGGGA